TTTTTTGCCACACCATCATATTCGAGTCTCTTTATCCTCATTTCTCCTTGGGGGTGGGCAAAAATCGGTTTTGGTTAAAATTAAAATTGGTTTTAAAATAATCAAAAAAAAAATTTCTTCTATTTTGAGAATTGAAATTGAACTGAAGTTTTCACAAATTGATTGATTCAGTTATTAATAAAATTTGTTCGATTTTGGTTTTTGCTAAATAAATATTAATCAATTATTTTTTTAATCATAGATTATATTTTCTCATATTTTATTATATTTTGATATATTTTATCATATTTATCATAATTTCGATTTTCAATAAGTTTATTTTCGGTTTTCAAATTTTAAAAGGCTCAACTAAAATTAAACCAAAATTTATTCGATTAACATCAAAACTAGAACAATAAAAACCAAAAACTATTTAAACCAAACTGAATTCATTTTTTTGTTCGATTCCGGATAACCCATCGATTTGGTTTCCAAATGCCCAGCCCTATTTCTCCTTCTCCTTAGTCCCTACCCCAGTACCCTGTGTAAAAAAAGAAAAAAAGTATGGAGTTACAATCTAACACGTGCCTCAATCTGAAACCTGGACGGTTTTGGTCGGCGATGGTTGTGAATATATATATTGTTTTCATTTCTTCCTGGGGAGGTGACGTTGGATCTAATCCAAAGCCGCGCCCAAGAAATGGACAGATTTGGAGTTTTGCTTATGGGTTTCGAAAGAAAGGAGGTGAAAGAAAAATAATATCTTTTAATTTCTCTTTTTATTTTTCGTGATATAGTAAAATATAAAAGAATAATAATTAGTATATTTTTTAATTTAATATATTTATTAAAAATTATTATTTTTAAAATAAATTTAAAATAAAAAATTTTAATTATAGAATTTAATAATTGAATTAATAAATATATTATAAAATATATTAAATTAAAAAATATATTAATTATTTTTCAATATAAAAAGATAGAAAAAGAAATAAAAAAAATATCAACAATTTATTAATCCGAATAAAAAAAATTTAATTCTTATTAAATAAAATTTGAGTTTAATTTTTATTAAATAAAGTTTGAATTCAATTCTTATAAATGAATAAATAAATACTATAAAAGTTTCTTCTTTAGTGAGGTTTATAATAATTTGATTTTAATCTAAAATAACTTTTAGATATCAAAATATTAATAATAATAAAAAAATACTTCTTTCTCTCACATCCCCCTCTAATTATTTGTTATTTAAGTAGGAAAAACTTTCTCTCTTTCTATCCCCTCTTCTCAAATAAAAAAAAGGCTACTGGAGCTGAGGACGTTGCAATCGGCTGTGCAGTAGGTCGGTTGACCTGTCCAGCTTATCTCACGGTTGGGTCTGGAATTCGTTTCCAAGGGAGGACCATCTAAATTAAAGGTCATCTCTTACGTATAATTGATTAATCCATTTGGTTTCCGGCATAATTCTCCCTTGATGGAAAAGTTAGGAAAATTGTTCATTTATAAAAGTACTGGCACAGAAAAGTGTTCGTCTTTGGATATCGTAGATAAGAACAGCCACCAGGTGGTCCATCACTTCCTCCACTCCCAAAATCTACGCAGTTGCTTAAGAACAAATTCTTATAAACCAATGTAAGGATGATCTCATAAGTTATTTTTGTAAACATGATAGTCAGAAATGACAAATAATACTGCAATGAATTTGGTCAATCACTCGAGTTTTATTATTATTATTATTATTATTTATCAACCAAGCAATTTATTATAAAATTGAGTGTAAAGATATTCAAACCCTTTTACAACTTGAGAGTTCTTCCTTAGTACATAATTTCCAATTTCTTATCCAACCTGTGTACACCAGGCATTCGTGTTATCTTGTTCCATCCTCTACTTCTCACAACCTGGTCAATCACTATGAGTTTGGTAAGGAGTTTTTTCAAATTTTTTTTTTTAATTTTAAGTTACATAATATAAAATAACCACATTTTGTCATTTAACTAATCTTACAGAATATTATGTGATTCAAACTTAAAAACTTTATTTTTACTAAAAAATTACTACTAAATTATTAAAACCATTTGGTAGCAAAGACGTTTTAAATTAATTTAGTGTTGTTTCATGTGTTGTTTTAGGCTTTGGTTAATTATGGTTATCCTTAAATTTGTTAAGGCTAACCAAACTATTAACTTAACAAAATATTTGATAATTTATAAAATGATAATATTTATTATTTAAAATTATTTATAAATATATATTTTTCAATATAATAACTAACTATTTAAAAAATTATTATAATATAAATTAATAAAATTAACGATACAATGAATAATCTTAATAAAATAAAAGATGACAATAACCTTAGCCATTTTTTTAAGGTTTGTTTACTTGATAAATAGTTTTGAATTTTAAATAAATTGGCTATTACGTAAACCAATTCAAGTAAGAGACTACTAAAGATAGATATTCAAATTACACTATTCAATTTATAAAAATTTTATATGCAAGACCTTTTATTAAAATAAAAGTTTAGAAGTTCGTAATA